TAAAGGTAGTCCTAGTTTTTGAAGAGACACAGCCCTCCACCAACCCACTCATACTGGGCAACACAGTAGCTAAGTGGTTAGCACTTCTACCTAGCAGCACTAGGATCATCGGTTTTAATCTGAACCACTGCACTACCTGCCTAGAGTTTGCATGTTCTCCCTGTGCCTGTGTGGGTTTCCTCCCACACTCCAAATTCCACTCCCAGAATATACAGTCATGGCCGAAATTGTTGGCACCCTTGATATTTTTCCTGAAAATCAAGTATTTCACACAAAAAAGGTATTGCATTAACACATGTTTTGCTATACACATGTTTATTCCCTTTGTATGTATTGGAACAAATATAAAACAGAGGCAGAAAAGCAAATATGACATAATGTCACACAAAACCCCAAAAATGGGCTGGACAAAAGTATTGGCACCCTTAACTTAATATTTGGTTGCACACCCTTTGGAAAACATAACTGAAATCAGTCGCTTCCTATAACCATCAATAAGCTTCTGACACCTCTCACCCGGAATTTTGGACCACTCTTCCTTTGCAAACAGCTCCAGGTCTCTCTTATTGGAAGGACACCTTTTCCCAACAGCAATTTTAAGATCTCTCCACAGGTGTTCAATGGGATTTAGATCTGGGCTCATTGCTGGCCACTTCAGAACTCTCCAGCGCTTCTTTGCCATCCATTTCTGAGTGCTTTTTGACGTATGTTTGGGGTCATTGTCCTGCTGGAAGACCCAGGATCTTGGACGCAAACCCAGCTTTCTGACACTGGGCCCTACAGTGCGACCCAAAATCCTTTGGTAATCCTCAGATTTCATGATGCCTTGCACACAGTCAAGGCACCCAGTGCCAGAGGCAGCAAAACAACCCCAAAACATCATTGAACCTCCACCATATTTTTACCGTAGGTACTGTGTTTTGTTCTTTGCAGGCCTCATTCCGTTTTCGGTAAACAGTAGAATGATGTGCTTTACCGAAAAGCTCTATCTTGGTCTCATCTGTCCACAAGACGTTTTCCCAGAAGGCTTTTGGCTTACTCAAGTACATTTTGGCAAACTGTAGTCTTGCTTTTTTATGTCTCTGTGTCAGCAGTGGGGTCCTCCTGGGTCTCCTGCCATAGCGTTTCATTTCATTTAAATGTCGACGGATAGTTCGCGCTGACACTGATGCTCCCTGAGCCTGCAGGACAGCTTGAATGTCTTTGGAACATGTTTGGGGCTGCTTATCCACCATCCGGACTATTCTGCGTTGCAATCTTTCATCAATTTTCCTCATCCGTCCACGACCAGGGAGATTAGCTACAGTGCCATGGGTTGCAAACTTCTTGATAATGTTGCGCACTGTGGACAAAGGCAAATCTAGTTCTCTGGAGATGGACTTGTAACCTTGAGATTGTTGATATTTTGCCACAATTTTGGTTCTCAGGTCCTCAGACAGTTCTCGTCTCCTCTTTCTGTTGTCCATGCTTAGTGTGGCACAACAGACACACAATGCAAAGGTTAAGTGAACGTCTCTCCTTTTTATCTGCTTTCAGGTGTGATTTCTATATTGCCCACACCTGTTACTTGCCCCAGGTGAGTTTACAGGAGCATCACATGCTTGTAACATTCTTATTTATCCGCAGTTGTGAAAGGGTGCCAATACTTTTGTCCAGCCCATTTTTGGAGGTTTGTGTGACATTATGTCGAATTTGCTTTCTTTCCTCCCTTTTTTTGTTTTTGTCCCAATACACACAAAGGGAATAAACATGTGTATAGCAAAACATGTGTTAATGCAATACGTTTCGTGAGAAATACATGATTTCCTGGAGAAATATCAAGGGTGCCAACAATTTCGGCCATGACTGTATAGCCGAGTTTTTTTTAAGTCTAGGAGTTAAGTGTCACTTTAGTCCATCAGTTTACAGACCTTGTCATTTTTTAATTTCGGTGGTGCAATTTTCCCTTTTCCTTGGCTTTCAGCTTCTGTTGAAGCCAAAGAAGGAAAGAGCAATTGGATTGGTCCCAAACTACCAGTCCCTTATCACTGGAATAATCCTGTAAATACTGACAGCATATAGGATATTGTTGTGCAAAAATAATACATAGCACAAAGAAAACACCCCAAAAATAATACTAAAAAAAATATTAGCAATAAAAAAATATTAGTTGCTATACCTCAGCAGTGCCTGGAATTGCGAGACGGGCAGACTTTGAAGAGGCATCAATTACAAACTGGGCGTTCTCATATATTTTGCCTTTTGGATCTATTAATTGAATAGTTGGGAGGAGTATGTTCCAAGTCACTAAAAAGAAAGTGTCGTTGCCCACACTGCTGTCGATGGTCACTCTGCCAGTCAGACACTGGGTTGATTTTATAGTTGTTGCAGTACTTTCAAGCTGTAATAGCAGAAATGTATCAACATGCAAACATAGAAGGTACAGAAGTGGTTTTATTATCAGTTCTACAAATTTGTTAATTTCTTTAAACATCTAATTGAGCATATTAGAGTGCCTCTAAATCCAAGCACAAACATGTAATATAGTTCAGTTTACAGCTCTTAGACGTGGTGCCTCATTTGTTTTTGTTTGTTTTTTTCAGGTTAAGCACATTTTCCTTGCCTTACCCCTTGACCTACCAGGAATCAAATGTGCTTGTAATTTCCTGTGCATTGAGTTAAAAATCTCAAACATTATTATCAGTTTTTACCAGTTTTCTTCTGTGAACTACAAAACTACCCCTCCCATGTTATAGAGGTGAGTAGAGGGGAAGGTGATTGTAGTCCAAATCAGGAGAGCAGTCTAGGGTGACAACCCATCATAGATACAGTGAAGGTGTGTTGTCACCCAAGGACAGGAAGTATGTTACTCACAGGTCCACCAGGTTAAAATACAGGAAAGAAAGCCTAAAAAAGGAAACTACCAAAACTAAGGGCTAATAAACTGAATTATATTCCATTTTTGTTCTTGGATTAGATACATTTGAGGTTGAACCAACTGAACTTTTAGTTTAAATCAGTTTAAAGTATATTAACACATTTTTAAAATTTTTACTGCTATTTAGGAGATTTTCTGTTACTTTCTGTTCTGGGAACAATAAAAGTGATATAAAATCTGTACCAGGGAAAAAAAGTGACAATAAAAAGCTGACAGGGGTTCTAGCATTTTCAGACTTAAAGAGGAGCAAATGAAAAGTCAGCAGGTCCAAAAACTGTACTGACTTTTAATAAACAGACGCTCACCAGCTCAAGGATCGCTAGAGACCCTCATCTGGGTCAATTCCTGTCTTGTCTTTGGGTTCCCAGTGCTGACATGTTAACTGTGGGAAGCCGCCTGTGACTTTTTGCGGCCTTATAGCTGGTTTCACATTGCGCATGCGTTGGGTCACGCTGTACCCTGTGAATGGTCCCAACTGCCTCCTAGGACCTGTTACGTGACCCAGAAAGTTGTGGGCGGTGTGGGGCAGGTGGGTAATGTGGGGCCGAACGTCCACTCTCGGATCACCTAGGGAGAGATTGAGGGGGCGGAGGAGCGTAACTTCCCCTTTTGGGGGAAAAAAAAATTATTCCTGTCCATGTTGGTGCGATCTCCCTCCACTTCTCCTGGTGACAACATTTTTGCCAGGTAAAGAAATGATGAAATCTCTCCAACAGAGCCTCTGATCGGCGTAAAACCTGACAAAAGCTCAAATCCTTCCCCCCTATCCAAAACTAAAAATAAAAGCCAATAGATAAACGATATTGTTTTTTTTTTTCCAAAATTGTCAGTTTATTGTTTAAAAAATAAAAACCGCAGAGGTGAGAAAATACCACCAAAAGAAAGCTCTATTTGTGTAAAAAAAAATGCCATACATTTTGTTTATGTACAGCGTTGCATGACCGTGCAATTGTCAGTTAAAGTAAAGCTGCGCAGTGTTGCAAAAAATGGCCTGGTCGGGAAGGGGGGTAAATCTTTCAGAGAGAAAGTGGTTAACATAATCAAGATGCTGCAAAACAAACGGTGTTCAATGTTTTACAGTTCACTTTCTCTGTAAAGCAGCCACATCCTGAGGAAATATCCTTTTCCCTGCCAGCAGCTGCACAGTGGAACCCTTGGTCTTTGTAGGAAAACAGTGGTTGAAATGCAGAGGTAATATGGAGACGCAATCAGCAAATTGGAGAACTGTAGCTCTCACTGAGCAGGCGTGTGTGTAGGACTTCTGCAGAGAGACCACTGCTTCCACACAGAGAACATGGGTCCCACTCTGCAGGACACAGGCTTTTCTACTCAAACTGTGGTTTATTTGAAAGAAAACAAACTGCAAGACTTTTCATGCCTTTTGTTTGGATGCACCTGGAAAGTCATTTAGCTGATTTTAACTGAAAGTTCAATTAATAAAACAAAAAAACACTCATTTTAATTATATATATAATAGACATATGATCTCATTACATATACTATTTGTTTTAATATAGAGGGAGTAGCTTTGCAATACATGATCATGCCTTATTCAGTACAAGTCTATAGATGGGGCTGTTTCATGTGAAATTATGGTCAGGTACACTACAAAAATAACTACCGTATTTTTCGCTCCATAAGACGCACTTTTTTCCCCCAAAAAAAGGGGGGGAAAATGTCAGTACGTCTCATGGAGCGAATGTAAAGCGGCCGGTCCTGTATTTCTGCCGCCACCATGTCAGAATACCGGGCCGGCTTCTTAGCTGTTCTCTCCTGCAGGACCTTACCTGTTCCTCGCTCCAGTGCTGCAGTCTTCCCACGGCGGCTTCTGTGACAGCCGGGCGCCCACTGCGCATGCGCGAGAAGTGCCGCACTTTGTGAATGGTCCGGTGTCTTCTGGGACACATGACAGGTCCCAGAAGGCTCCGGACCATTCACAAAGCGCAGCGATTCTCGTGCATGCGCAGTGGGCACCCGGCTGTCACAGAAGCCGCCACAGGAAAAAGAAGGAAGGACAACTCCGCGGAAGTGGGAGCGGGTACCTGTCAAATTCAGGTACCTGTTCCCCCTCCCTCCCCAAAGGTCCGCAGTCTCTGGTAATCTCCTTTACTGTCTGCAGTCTCTGGTCATCCCCTGCACTCTCTGCAGTCTCTAGTCTTCTGTACTATGTCCACAGTCTCTGGTCATTCCCTGTACTATGTCTGCAGGTTCTGGTCATCCCGTGTACTGTGTCTGCAGTCTCTGGTCATTCCCTGTACTGTGTCCGCAGTCTCTGGTCATTCCCTGTACTGTGTCTGCAGGCTCTGGTCATCTCCTGTACTGTGTCCGCAGTCTCTGGTCATCTCCTGTACTATGTCCGCAGTCTCTGGTCATCCCCTGTACTGTGTCCGCAGTCTCTGGTCATCTCCTGTACTCTGTCCGCAGTCTCTCGTCATCCCCTGTACTGTGTCCGCAGTCTCTGGTCATCCCCTGTACTATGTCTGCAGTCTCTAGTCATCCCCTGTACTGTGTGTGCAGTCCATTGGTTCAGAATATTTTTTTTCTTGTTTTTCTCCTCTAAAACCTAGGCGCATCTTATGATCAGGTGCGTCTTATGGAGCGAAAAATACGGTAAGTATGCATATTCACTGACATGTTTTGATAGCTTTGCTACAAAGAATATACAAACCTGAATGGACTGAGCTTGGACATCCCCACTGCTAGCTTTGATGCCGCTGAAGGAGTCAATCAAGCCATTGGCATCAAGTTTATCTGACGCGTACAGTTGTAAACCACCTGCAGAGAATGAATAAAAATTAATTTTACATGCTATGCCTAATCAAAGCCATGCAATGGTACAATGTTTGCAGCATTATCTAGTTTGGAAACCCATTGCAGCTCTAAGATTCATAACTAGCGATAAGCCAAAGTGCCCTGGATTCGGTTCGAACAGTGTTTGTCGAACTTCATGCTGAACCCGATACCCATTGAAATCAATCTGTTAAATAACTTTTGTTAAATAATGTCCATATTTGAGCTAATAGGACTCCTTGCAGACCCCTCCAAAAGGTCCTCCTTAATATTTGGGGGACCTTCTATGTGTTTTTTTTTTTTTTTTTTAAAGAAGCTGGAAATGACATATAATTTGAAGGTTATTTAATCTGTATCACTTTTTCTCTATAAATGTCACTGTTGCCATAATACATCCAACAGCAAGATTGAAAAAAATAGGCATAGTGCCTCCTTCAAAATACACACCAGACCCCTCTGGCAAAGCACTTTGTACCCAAACAGCCAAAATTCAGTCTGAACCTAGGATCTGCTATTTTTGAGAATAGTATGTTATGGTTTGCATTTTGCTACTTGTCAGAAAAGCTATTTTTTTTGGGGGGGGGGTTAATTTTTAACTATGCTATGCTATGCTTCAAATGGCTTGTTTTACTGCAAGCATCAAAACAGAAGTGGAAGTCATATATTGAACATCTTATATACAGTATATACAAGACCCAAATCCAAGTTCCCATCCCAAAATGCAAGTCCCTGCTTATGACAAATAAAATGAAAAGCAACTTAATACCTCTAAATTGCCTTTTGGTTTTTAATAACTAAAAACATACATACATACACACAGCATGAGGTGTATTTAAAAAAAATGTGCATAGCAATTCATCCATCAAAACTTCAAGTAAGTTCATTTTGTACAAATAGAGCAAAATCAAATGTTCTCGGGCAATATTCTCTGCAGATCAAGAATGTGTGAATGGGAACAACCATTATGGTCAATTGATGGCGTTGACTGTCATAGGAAATAAGTATGCTCCTCAGCTCCATTTAATGACCATAATGCACTATTTTCTGCTTTCAAACATTTAAACTGCAGAGAATATAGCCAAATAACATTCAATTTTGCCACATTGATACAGAACAAATTTTAAGGATGGGGAAAAATCAGCTATGCAGTTTTTATAAACACAACCCTAGGTGTTCCATTGTTGTGGGTTTCAAAATATAAATCCCAAAAAGTACTATGGCATTTTCTTGCCCTGTGTCACTAGTATTAAGCTACTTGCTTTATTATTTTTTTAAGCCACATTTTTTGACAGTCTTACTGGTTTTTTCTTTTTTTTCTTATTTACTTTTTTGCAGCAGAACCCCGCAGTTTCAAAAGTGAATTATAAAATATGTGTATCAAATATTCAAGCACATTACACAAAAAGGCAAGGGTGTTTTTTCTGACTTTGGGGCCAGAAATTGTATATAAACGACCAGAAGGGAGCAGTGCAGGGGCGGGTGGCCATTTATAAATGTCCTCACTGCTTCCCTGCTTGTGCGTGCTCCCTGAGAGCGCGCAGCACCGCGATCTGGTTCCCGCTGTGTCCAGAGGACACACCGATCGCTGTATGGAACCTCTGTGTGAGGTCCCGATCATGTGATCACTGTTTGGCCAATCAGTGATCACATGAATAGTAGTAGAAAGATGTCACTTCTGACATCATTGCTTACTACGTGTGAAATCTGTGAATGATCATAGAGATCACATGGTACAAGGCTATTCACAACAGCCTTGTACCAGACCAATCACAGCTCGCACAGTATTTCTCAATGGCAGCCAGAGAGAAGGAGAAATGATTGCTTTTACAGCCTTTATGGGTGTAAAAGCAATCAATGTAAAAAAAAAATCTTTTTCACCCCCCACAAGTAGAGTGACAGTATGTTAAAAAAAAAACCCATAATAATATAAAAAAAATAAAACTGTAAAAAAAATTTTTGGCTATAAACTAATTGGGGTTATTTTTTTTTTTTTACTAAAAACATAACTGAATACATTTTGGCTACGATTTATGAAGAAAGATTATTTGTTTTCTAAATTTTACAAGAAAAGCACTTTTTTCAAAATTTTTGGACATTTTCATTTATATAGCAAAAAAAATAAAAATCCCATTGGTGAATAAATACCACCAAAATAAAGTTTTATCGGAAAAATGCTAAAAAATTCATATGGGTACAGTGTTGCATGACAGGGCAATTGTCATTCAAAGTGTGATAGCACTGAAAGCTGAAAATTGGCCTGGACAGGAAGGGGGTAAAAGTGTCCAGACATGAAGTGGTTAAGAAGGCCCATGCTTGTGCTTTCCAATATCACCCCAGAGGACATTGGGGCTGCTGTCAGATTATGTTTAAAAAATAAATCACCATTGTCTTCTGAACTAGTGTTCAATCTATTGTCAGAGTATTTCAGGCTTTTATGCATCATCTTCATTTAGTTGTGTTCACTCTACTCAACCCATATTTTTAATTCCCAGAAAAAAAAACATAACTTACCTGTCATGTTGGATAATTGTTCTAGGGCTTTGTCTGCTTGATTTCCTAAAGCGAGAGTGTGAATGACTGCTCCACTGTTTTGGACGTCACTAAAACAGCTGCTAATACCTGCATCCTCTCCATCTGTTAACAACACAATCTCTGTGCCATAGGTGCTTCCATCAAACCCTTTATTTACCTGTGTATGTTACAAAAGCATACTCTCAGTGTCTGATGTTTTAAAAAAAATAGCCAAATTGAAAATCATGTGATAGAAACTCAGAAAATAAAGCACAATGACACATAGGTGAAGAGGTACACTTGTTGCTGAACCAAACATTACAGAGAAGAATGGTCTAAATTACTTGGCAGCAGAATCTAACTTCTCAAAAACTGCTGACCTCCAATTCACAAGCTATAGCAAGCGTCCCAAATTATGACCCATTGGCCACACGTCACCCAATACAAGATTTTACCCGTCCAACAGCTGATGTGCACAATCTCCACTTCTCGCTTGTCCTTCAACAGCATTGGGGCACTGATGTAAGGCTAGACTTTGATGGGGACACTGATGTAAGGAGGGACTCTGATGGGGACACTGATGTAGGGCTGGACTCTGATAAGAAAATGATTGTAAGGGGGGAACTCTGAAAGGGATTCTGACTTAAAGGGGGGGGGGGACTCTGATGGGGACACTGATGTAAGGCTAGACTCTGATGGGGACACTGATGTAAGGAGGGACTCTGATGGGGACACTGATGTAGGGCTGGACTCTGATGGGAAAATGATTGTAAGGGGGAAACTCTTAAAGGGATTCTGATGTAAAGGGGGGGGGGACTCTGATGGGGACACTGATGTAAGGCTGGACTCTGATGGGAACACTGATGTAGGGCTGGACTCTGATGGGGAAATGATTGTAAGGGGGGAACTCTGAAAGGGATTCTGATGTAATGGGGAACTCTGATGGGGGCACTGATGTAAGGCATGGGGACATGTAATGGGGGACTTTGCTTTGTTTCACTTAAGTTTAATAATTTTTAGTACAATTACATAGCGCCATCAATTTCCACAGCATTTTACTTATGTATTCTATATTCACATCAGTCCCTGCCCTCAAAGAGCTTACACAAAAGGTCACTAACTCACATTAATACATACTGTAGTAGGGACAATTTAGACAGGATCCAATTAACCTACCAGCATGTCCTTGGAGCATGAGAGAAAACCAGATTACCCAGAGGTTTTGTGGTGACTCTACATCCACTTCTGTTACAATGGGATTGGGCAGTGATCATATGTCAGTAAACACTATTCAGACATCCCATGGCTAAACCTTTTTGGGGTAAGAATTAATTGGCCAGGCTGGATTTTGCACGACTCATCACTATTGTTTTCTAATGAGATAATTTCAGTTCTACATCTCACCACCATTTGGTATCTGCAGTCAGCTAAAGTGAAACTGTAGTCACATTTTAAAATAAAATGAATTCAATATGTTTAAATATAAATAAAATGTACCTTCTATCCTTCTTACTTCTTTTCATCCCTCAAATGAAAGATTTTTTATTGCTATTCTCAGACTTTCTGTTCTAGGATGGCTACGTTTGTTCTCCATGTCCCCCCTTGTGTATGTAAATATGGCCACCCTTTCCTGCTTGCCCCTGAGATGGACTACATATCTACTTGCCGACGCATTCAGGGCTATGAGAACTGTAGCTCCCCTACAGTAGAGCATGTAACCAGAAATAACAGCACTGCTTGCTCTACACTAGTAGCAGTGGGGTGCATCAGCAAAGGATCTGGAGAGTGCACAGGAAAAAAAAGAAGCCTGAAAAAACTGGAGAGAGTTGTAATAAAAAAAACAGAGCTGTGGTAAACCTGATATTTTATAACAATTGATGTAAAAAAATTACTTTGTCATTTTATATGGTTAATCAAGCTGGCCGCAAACCAGAACAATTTATTTTTAATCTTCATATGGAAATTCTGAAAATCAATCATCAAAGATTTCAATAGATTCATTATGGGCTTGAGAAATTTTGTGTAAAAACTATCAAATTTATTTTGATCGCCATCCCAAGATTATGAATTCCATGTTCAATTTTGGGAAGCACATGTGCATTACAGTAAATGTGATTTTTTTTTTACATCACCATCTCTAAAGCGAGATACCAGGGACTGCCAAGT